AAAAAGATCCTAAAATTGTACCATAATATGGGTCCAGAAGTATTTTTGTCACTAAAAAACCAATCAATTGACTTTACATCAAGCGATATAGCCTACTAGATCTGCTGTCTCACTACAAAACAGATTACATGGTCCAGTTTTCAAAAGCAGTTTAGCACAATATCTCAACAGTGAGTGTCCTGGGAAGTGACAAAATAGGCACCAGTAAAGCACCAGCAAGTTACTGCTTATGTGGAATACCAAGAACTTTGGGAAGAAGATAATGTGAATGTTACAAATACCTACTTATCATTAAATACTGGAAGTTCATCTCTGTAGTACTCCAACTCCAAATACCAGCAGTTAAAATATTACTGGTTAACATGACATATTCTCTATACAGCTCTTAGACAACCTAGTGACCTTTTTTTTAGAAATAACTGGTAGTTATGTTTTGATAGTCTCAGAATTTAAGCCTTCATCAATGGTGTTGCTTGTACTTTAAATTGTTTCTATTAGTTACAGTCTCACTCTTGAAATTTGCCATCTAAACACGTAAGAGGGCCTTGTCACTTTATTCCTTTATTTTAATGCTGCAGATTATTCATGCAGTAAAGTTTAAAAACTTATTCTCTTCCTCCAAAAGTATCAAACCAGACGATCTAAGCAATATCAGCAGAGGACGAATTAAAGGAAATATTATTAAATAGTAATTTATGAAGTGGTTTTAGCAGGTCTGAAGGAAAATATCGCAGCTCTTTATACCCTTATTGTATCTAAATGACTAATTTGTTAACTTTGGCACAGGAAACAGTCCATCCATTTTAAATAACTGTTGGATATAAGAGTAGTTTAAGTCATGTTTGCTGAGCTATGTGCATCTGTTTTCTTGTGAAAATATCCCTCTGCAGCCTTGGAGCTGCTCCCTTTCCCACAGACCTGTAGCCATACTTGGGTTTTGGTGCTTTGCATGAAGGCACTAACACGATAAGAACTAGGAGCTGATGTGGGGGAAGGAAAACAGGGCACATGGAGACTGGGTGAGCACAGGGTATTCTGTAGGTCATAGGTTGTAACCTAGCTGTGATAAATTGAGTTTAGAGAACACACCTACAACACAAATATCAATAGACACCAATTTTTGTATTTTTTGGATGGCTCTTGGATGCCATGTGAATTATTTTCATACCTCTGGCTGTCTTTGCTGTGTAATAATGAAAGAATAAGCTCAACCTGTTCCTTGGGACTACTGCACCTTGCGTGGTGATTGACAGCATTGGGAGTCTAGCCTTTTGCTTCGTTATCAACCTAAGGCATGGAATGATCATTTTGAAACTTTATGTCATATCTTATCCCTCAATTAATTTGAGCCTGCCAGAACTTTCATTCTCTGGGTGCAACTTGTCATTGCTCAAGTAATGTCAGAATAATGCACATACATAAGCATTCCTTCAATGTTAGAGTGGTTCTTCTGGAGTTTGGATGATAAACACTTAGAAGTGTGAAGCACATGTGACATGACCAACACAGTGTCAAATCATGATGCTGGTTGTGCAGGAGACTGACAATTCTCTGCAGACACAAACAGTAACAGCAGTGAAAACTGAATGTCTGACGAGCGGGTTGCAATTTGACCAAAAGTCTTCTTACCTCTTTTGTCAAAGCATCAGTTTTGCAGAAATCATTCATTTCAATGCAGTGTCCATCAGGAAAGGCTTCTCAGGTGCAAAAGGTCTCACCCAAACCAGTGAATGGCAGAGACCTAACCCAGAGTAGCCAGAAGTCCAGTAATGTGTGCAATTGCACTAGGTATGAGAAACCCAATGCTAACTCTAGACTTGACCATCTTAACAGCTAATCTATAGATTGTGTCTCTCTCATGCTGCTTGGCAAATAGTAGGATTCTTCATTTAAATTTAGCAATCTAGGCTCCTGTGTATCTGTAGGCTGAATTAAGCATTCTAGATTGCAGAGGTGTTACCCTAAAAAGGGTATTTAAACCACCTATGCTCTCTTACTCTTTGGAGTTGCCTCTTTCTCCTTACTTTATATAAAAGAGAGCAGAGACAAGTAGCTCAAACAAAAAGTAAGGCATTTAGGCATATAATTTACTGAAGTTGAATGAGATAAATCCCACTTCCCAATTAATACTATTGTGTCCTGAGAGAACTTGATCCAGGATGAAGGACTGAGAGTGCTCCATTCTAAAGTGGCCAAAAGCCTCACCCTAAAGAAGTGAGAAGACTTCCTGTTGGGTTCTGAGCTGAGGACAGGTGGCAAAAATCGGAAAGAATAAACACATTTGGCAGCACAAATTAACAAGAAGACAATTATGGAGCACAGCTGAAGATCTCCAGTCTGTCCAAACACAACTGTCCAAGGGAAATCTGATGGCCTATGAAGCAAGGTATGTGGAAGTGAATTAATGAAAAATTGATTCCTACTAATAAAGCTCAACAGATGCGCAGATTATCTTGACAGATACTGAAAAGTGGTCTGGAAAATCAGACCAAAAGCACAAAGATCGCTACAACTACAAATGTTGCTTATTGGTCTGATAAAGACAGGTTTCTTTTCTTCAGATTAATCTTAGATCTTTTACTATTTCACCCTAGCAGTCCTAGGTGTTACAGCAGTCCTTTGCCTTGCCAGCACTCTGATACCTTGGCAGTTAATAAGTCATTAAGGTGCTGAGCTTCTATAAAAAATGTATCAATGTTTCAGATGTCCCAAGAGTCCTATATTTAATAAAAGACTCCCATTAGAAGGGAAGTATTTAAAATAGAATACACTTTCTAAAAGAACTGGAAATAACAAATATCCTGCTTTAGTTGCTTTGTTATAAAAACTAGATTGCTCCCTCCAAGAGTTTTAATAGAAAAAGAAAAAAATTAACATATTCTGGTTTTCCTGATTGTTCAAAGACACAAACTACAAATGCACACACATTTTAGAGGTAGCTAAGACTCTGTCAGCTCACAGAGAAAATGACTGCAGTAACAGGGTCCGTGGGAGCTACACTGCCCAACAAAGGCAACACAGCATGTATGTACAGAGCTGCTTTGCTACAATCCCCAAAGTCCTCAATCAGTGTAACTGAACAACAAAACCCTGCTTATGAAACCATGAGAGCCAACACAGGCACTGCTTGTTCTGCTGGCCACACCTACAGGAATTACTTTGTGGGGGGCAAGGAGGGGGAGGAGGGGGGCTGTCTTACACCGATGCTCATGTATTTCAGTTTGTAACACAACACATGCCAGTGCCTGTTTCTTGGGTGCTGCCTAGTCATCGTTCACATAGAATTTGCCTGGGAGAAGCAAATTATAGGTGTACAATTCAAGAAGAAAAGCAGGTAAACATTGCCTCTTGATCCAGCTTGAGCTGAAACATATTGCCCTGGAAATTGCTCCTCAGCAATAGTCTGTTATGTGGCACATTTTGAATAACTGCGAAGAATGATTTTTCTAATGATTTCTACAATACACATCAGAGACCAAATCCTGCCTTTGCCTCTTCTGCTGTGGAAGTATCCTGGCAACAGATCCAGTGCTGATGTTTTATGTAAGGATTTCTGGGCTTCATACTTTTCTGCTTAGCTGTGTAGGAAAGACACTAAGCGTCCGAGCATTGCCGACAGATGCAACATTGTGTGGAAGGGATGAGCAAGGCTTGTACAGAATGTGATGGCAATGGCCAGGGAGTAATGCTGCAGCCCTTTGGCGAGCCAAGAGGGGAGAATGACATCCACTCTCACCCCACCACTCCCTGCCACCCACCTTGTACACAGGGATGGATTCTGCACAGGGATTTGCCCTTACATGTAATGTTAGGCAACAACTACAGAAAAACACGTGGCAAATACATCCTTCATGGGAAGATCTTCAATTCAATATACTTTCTAATGCAGTAGGAGGAAAAAAAAGTATGTATAGAACCTGCAGTATGAAAATCCTTTTTACAGTGTTTAGAAGATTAGGTAATGGATTTTTTGTTTCACATTAACCTATACATTTAGAGAACTTGCAATATTCCATTTTATCTTCTCATCCATGTGATTGTCACTACAGACTTCTTCTTCAATAATTTGTTTCTGAATTTCTAAGTTCACCAAAAAGGATTCACAGAATAATTTCTCAGAGAAATATAAAAGCCTGAATTCTTTAATACTTGCACAACAACAAAAAAGTCATTTCTTAAATGGCATTTCAGAATAAAAATAAGTACTGTAAAATGATGACTTGCTGAAATATTGAAGGGGAAGCTGATTACCTGCTTGGGAAAAAGCTGGAGTGCTCTCACTCAGGATACAAGTCAGTATCTTGAGCCCCTTTTTTTCTGAAGAACTATGATCCAAGGGGTAAAACAACAGCTGCCTTTTAGGACTAGACATCTGAAATCTTTATCAGCTTTATGCAGGCTCTGGAAGATTGCTGCAAAGGGTCCTTCCCGGTAGTATTGCCAGCTAAGTTTCATTGGCACTGCCACAGATTCGTTAATATGATGACAACTTTACTCTTCTACAATTGCTAAGATTTCATAACAATTTACAAAAGTTCACTTCATAATGTAGTGAGCTCTATTGTGAGTATCACCATTTGGGAACAAGGAGACCTGAAACACAGAGACTAGATTCATTTGACCAAATTACAGTTCTCTAGTCTCTCTCTATAGTCAATGGAGAGAAATAGGCACTTGTGATTGATTTCCTAACCTAGAAATCTAAAACAGGTCACATGACTGTATTCAGAAAGTAGATATTTTTCTCTTTGGTCTATAAAGAGAGTTCAAAGCGACTAGTTCAGATATCTTTACGGTAGTTGAGATAAGTGAGATGACTCCCCAAAATGGAGGTTAAGTAATTTGGTTTAGGCTTGAGAGAAATCCTATTATTCAGGATTCCTGGCTTTCAGTCTTATAAGAACATCCTTACCTGAACATGCATATTCTCACTGCAGAAGGAGGTAACTGAGGACTGTGAATAACAGAAATGCATTGCAAAGTAAGAAGGAAGAACAGACCTGGTGTTACTGTCACATCATTTCCATTGACCACAGGTCTTTCTTCCTCTTCTTCCTCCGGTGGTTCAATACCTGTCTTCTCCATATTGCTCACAGACTTATTCCTTTTGCGTTTGCCTTCAGCCCCGGGAGTGGCACCTGGGAGGATCTGATCTGTTACATTTAACAGCAATGGAGCTGGTTCTGCTGGAGGCTTCGGAGTGCCGTAATAGTTGTCTGGAAAGAAAAGAAAAGGAGTAACATAAATTTGCAGAAATACATCTGCTGCTTCTTCTTCTTTTGGCTTAGATTAATGGGATTATGTGAGGTAGGATCTGATTCATCAGCTAATATAAAGATTACTTCAAAATGTTTTCTGCGAAGTTAAATATTCACCTTACATGAAATGGTAATTAATTTTCTTGGTGGTAGCACTAGTGATCAAATTGTGTTTACAACTATATAACAAGTTAACACTTTCTGAAACTTTAACAGGGTAAGTTAACATTCCTCTCACCCAAATTCCTGACAAGTAGGCAGCATAACGGAGCTGTTTTCTTATTTCAAACCGTTAGCTAGGACAAATTAGTTTTGTAATATTTATGCCACAATACCAGAGCTTCTGAAGGATCAAAAGGACCATAAAAGTATTGGCTATTCATTATGTTATGTCATTTTCACCCCCCAAAAAATTCTCTCACCTGCTTAGAAAGTAAATAATCATTCAAAGATTCAGAGATTTGCAGTTTTAAGTAATGTTTGAACTACTTCATTTTTCATATTTGTCAAATTTTTGCTATTCATGAGCAAAGCTCCAGATTTGTAATAGTTAATGCTAATATATTTTCAAAGAAAGTTGAAACCTGATGCTTTAGCGCTTAAAATTATCTCGAAGTACTAAGGAATTCTGAGAAGATTTAAGGTGGCTGACAGATTACCCACTATTTGTCTCTCATGTAATTTCTGGCAACTTCTTCTGAATCACCTACTTTCTGTCAGAAGGATTATTAGATTAGCTGGACCATGATCTGATCTTTTCTATCAATATATGTATGTTTGCATTTCTAGCACATCTGGTCTCAAAACTGGTTTCTTACTGATACCTCAAATTTGTCTTAAAAATATGGTTAAAAATAAAATATTAAAATAATCAAATAAAAGAATATAAAAAATATTAGCAAGTCCTCTCTAGAAGCAAACATAAAGAGTAATATAAGACATAAAGATAAAAACATGCTATTTATGCAGTTATCTTTTTTTCATCTGAAAATTGCATTGAAGGGCAGTGAACATGATGCCTTACAAGTAGATCTTCAGCAGTTAGTATGGGAAACTAAAAATACTGTGCAGCTCTGAGAAACTTTCCAAAGAAAAAAGTACCTACGTAAGGATATTAAGTTGCTGAAGATATTTGTAGACCAAATGACCATTTTTTAATTCTTATCGCAAAATTTAGGGCTTATGCATAATCAAATAATAGCAGCAACTTTCAAAAATTATTTTAACCATGTATGAGTGTGACACAGATAAAGAAATATGTTATATCTGCACAGTAAACCATCATAAGATACATTTTGCAGGCAGAGTAAAAGTTATTTCTGGTCCTAGTATTCCTGTGTGTTTCCAATTAATTACAATGTTCAGTCACATGGCCACCCCAATACAGGTAAGTAATTGACCACTCTTGCAACTACTGAATACTCTGTGAATTTTTCACAGTGGTTTAGCAAAATGATATTCATAACAGATGTTTCTGTAATTGTAATACACTAGAAAAATGTACTGTGTTAAATGGCCCTCGTAGTCACTTGGGCTTAGGGACTGCAGAATGAAAAACTGACTCACTGAAGATTTTCTTTTGATTTTATGAGATGGCAGCAGGTTTAACACAGAGCCCTGATGCCAGTAGGGCAATGAGTTCTGCCTTTGTATGGCTGTCTGTGACCTGCCCTCCAACAGTCTGCAGGAGGTCTGTCTAACTCCCAGGGTCAAAGCAGGGGAGCAGGATTTGGGGTCTAAGGGGGGAAGAGAAATCTACATTGATCCACTTGCAAAACCGTACCTCCGAAATATGTCAAATTCAGATCTATTCACAGTCAAACTTCTAAGCTCTGACAGTGCGGGGTATTTTGAGAGTACCTGAAAACCAACAGTCCTGAAGGCAGTGTCAGTTCGAAGTCTACTTTTGTATTTCCTTAAAAGCATGTTGCCTTTATTGGTGAGATTGCATGTCTGAAATATTACATATTTTGAAAAAAGAATTCCTCATTTTAAAAAATTCCTCCCTCACCTAAGCCATTTTACCAGTCTGAAAGTTAATCGGTGCCACAGATGCCTTAAGCATCATAAAACTTGTGAAGTATGCACTGATTTCCACCAATTTCATAAATATCAGCACACAAATCCCAGGGTTATAGGATCAGTGTGATACAAACCATGAAACTAAAAGTGCAGTACCTTGGCTGTTTTTCCTTTGTTCTTAGTTTTGCCATTGTCAAATCAAATCAAGTGCAGTAGTAATTAGCAATAATGCTAATATCCTGAATAGTAGATAAGATGTTTTAAATGAAGGACATGCTCATTCTATTAAACACTTTTTCACTTCGACTGACTGTATGCATTAGTGAGAGACAGAGACAAAAGTCACAACAAAAAAAATTCTATGAATATCACATATATAAAAATATAAGAAACAAAAATGCACATTTAAGATTAGGAGTCAAAGAGGATATCACTCTTTCAGTTTCAAACTGAAAACACAGTATAATTTCCAACTTCTGTTCTGTAACATAACATTATGTGTTTTATGATCCAGTAACCATTGATTTAAAAGTGAGTTTTGCATTATTAGTTGCTACCTACCTACCTACCTACCTACCATCTATCCTTAATTCAAATGTATGCATAAGCAGTGCAAATAAAAATAAGAAACTGGTCCACAGATATTGACATAATCAGTGCATCATAAAAATGATGAAAAGAATTCATACAGTTCCAAAGGAAAAAACATATAGGATGAGAAACCAGCCATTTCAATGAAGGAGTAATGCTCCATTAAAGAAAAATTAGAATCAGTATAAACTGTATCTTCTATCAAAAAGAGTTTCTCAGTGTCTTGAAATTCCTTGCTTAAGCCTTAGAGCATTACAGCTAATGGGAGCTCTCTCATAAAGCCTCAGCAATTGTCATATCTAGGCATAATGCAGAGACTAAATGTTTAAACACCATAACTTTTGTTGCAATGATGTCTGGAAAATCTCTGATAAAAACAGCTGTTTTTCATCTTGCCTGAGCAAAAGACAGGGCTGGTTCAAGACGTTACTGTTGAAACACTAATCATAACGTACAGAAATTCAGCTTCCTGTAGGTACAAAAAGCACACCAAATAAATAAATTCAACTGTGTTTAATTTAAAAAAAATTAATAAAAAAACCCAGAAAGCTTACTAAAAGAAAACATAAATCCCATGCTCATTGGCAGTCAAAAAACCCAGCAGTTAGGAGCTTTAAAAAAAGGAATGAAGCACAAAACAGAAAACACCTTTATAGCACTATACAAAAACACATAGTACCCTCCCTTTTGTATACTGCCTTCTGTTCTGGTACTTGCCTCTCAAAAATTACATGGGGGAACTAAAGAAGGGCAATTAAAGCTTGGAACTGATTAAATTGATTTGGAGTTTTCAGCTTGGAAATGGGACAACTGAAGGGGGATATGGCAGATATGTATAAAATCAGGAGAACCCTGGGAAAGTGCCTAGAAAATAAATGAATGGATGCTTGGCTTCTCACTACATGAGAACAAGAGGATGCCCAATGAAATTAGCAGGTTTAAAACTAGCAAAAGAAGTGGAGTTTTTTCACACAGCATAAGAGAATAGTGGCATTCACTGTCAGATGCTGCCAGTATCATAAATACAGTCAAAAAGCAATTATACAAAGTCATAGAAGAAAAAAAAATGAAAGCCTATTAAATGTAAAGGTACAAATTCTGAATCAAGAGTTCCATACAATACAGACGGGTGTAGTGCAGAACATATCTCTGCATGCCTTCCTTGTTCTTATATTTTTTGCCTTAACATCTACCAAGGGGCAGTAGTAGAGACAGAGTACAGGGCTACAGTTTCCCTTGGTTTGACTCAGTGCAGCCGCTCTCTTACTGAGGTGCCTCCTCGCTGTACTTAAAAAATGTGTGCATACTCCTCTGCCACCCCAGCACAAAGTCAAGAGGTCAGTTTAAGCCAGCAGAGCTTAAGCTAAGCTCTTTGCGCTGGACCTGACTCAAAGCCTTCACGCAGACAGGCAGTGCAGACCAAGTATTTAATTGCGGAAAAAACACCACTGCTTAATCCATCTTGCTGCTGTGCCTGATTGCCTCAGTGCTCCCAGCCTGTTTCCAAGTGCAGCCGAACACTGAAGATGGTCTAACCCAACCTGTTTGACTGCTGCCGAAATGGATTGGAAGCCATAGCACAGTTACAATTACCAAGTATTCCTTGCTACCCCTAAGCTGGATGAAAAGGTCTACCTGATTCTGCAAAGAGGGAGTCAGAGAAAATTACTGGGGAGGTTAGCCCTGATGACAGACCAGATCAGGAAGTAAGAAAGTCAGAATCGGCAGAAAAAGGAGAAAATGAGGAGGACAAAGCAGCTATTTTTTCCTTAACCTGAGCTCACCGATGTCAGGAAGTAGTAAGACATTTATTTTATCGATGAAGTGTTTGATGATGAAGCAATAGATCCTAACTTGCTTCCTGAGAAAAAGTAAGCCCTTATGGAAGAAAAAAAGACAAAGCGTTTGGGTGGTAGTAAAGAAGCAGAAGACTCACACTGAGATGATAACAAGACTCACGTCTGGTGACAGTCACTATACCGATGTGCTCGACACCCAGTGATCCCCATTACTGGAAGCAGTTATAAATGTATCTCCCACAATGTTGTGGTCCACTTTGCACTACACTGGGGGGGCTGGCCTCACCGAACACCTTCACCGCCAGCCCCCCCAGACCCTCTCCCCTTCTGTGAGGAAAGAGCCCAAAATGCAGCATACAGCGGACATCTCCACTTTCCATCCTTCCGCACAGGGAAGGCAGAGGAAGGGCTTTTTGCCAGGTCTGCATCCCTGGCTGTGGAGGAGGACATACTCCCTTTGCTCCTGGCACCGGCCAGCCTGAACCATCAGATTGTGGAGGAAGGGGGTTCTTGCTAGGAGAGTCCTTGGCTCCTGAACCTCCATTG